AAATGAATGAATAATATTTATTATGAATGAATTAGTTTCAGTTCATGATGATAAACTAACAAAGAAACACATTCAATAATTAGAACTTATGATTATACACTTTGCTCAACATAATACAAAGTGTTATGATATTTACATGCCGTTGGCTAACTTTAGCCATTCTGCACTGTTTTGGAAAAATCATAGAAAAATCATACGAAGTCAAAACCTAGATCCGTAAATTCTGAGAGTTCACAAAATGTGTCTAGTTTACTCATAATTTTTATCACGATTTTTAATGACCTCCAACTGGGGTGAAAAAGTCCATAATCACAGACTGGTCCGAATTGTTATTTGAAATGATAGGTAGTTTTGTAAAAATCACCATAAATTGTAGAAAAATAGTATGTAGATGTGCAAGTAGTCATTTTAAAGCTAAGAACTTGAACTATGTTTACCTTGTACAGTTTTGTAAACAAAAATGTTAATGGAGTTGAACTTTTCTGATGAAGGCTGTTAGAAAATTTTAGTTATGTTCTTGGTGTTTTAACTTGTATCCCCCCCTTAAAAACTTGAGAAAACATGAAAATGTAGGGGTATGAACTCACCTTAAGTGATTTCAGTAGGTGATTGTTGAAGAATGGAAGTGTTTAACTCAAGAACACTTGGGGATGCCTTGAAGATTTTCGAGAATCTAACATCATAGTTATGGAGTTTGTGTAAGCAATCAATGATTTGAGTAGAATGAAGTGAAATAATCATAAGGAGGATGAATTATAATTACTAAGAGTGGAAGAACACTTGAAAATCAGCCTTTAATCTCGAAATTGGTGTGGAAAAAGTTTGAGAGAAAAGTGGTGTTTGATACTTAGTGAAATGAGAGCAAATGAGAGAAATGAGGAGAGAGGTGTTTTGTTCCAGCTCTAAAAACGTGGGAATGAGTGGAAATTGAGTGTAAGGGACATTGAAGTGACCTAGGTAAGGTGGGGAGGTATGGCTGGTCATAGAGTGGGTGTGGGGTGGTTGCTTGTGAAATAAGTTAAAGCAAGGTCAACACTCCACCTTAAATAAATCCCTCATTAGATCTTTATTATTTAGATAATGATTTTCATCAAAATACATTTAAATTATGAATATTTAGGGTTTATTATGTTAAAATATAATTTCTGGAGGGCAGAAACCGAATTCTGGCCGAGGTTCGGCCTTCTGATGCTAGAACCGAGAGGAGAGAGGGCAGAAACCGAGAGGGGAAAAGAGAGAGAGCAGAAACCGAGAGGGGAAGAGAGAACAGAGAGGCGCGAAGAGACAGAGAGGAGAGGAGGAGACAGAGAGGAGAAGCGACAGAGAGGAGAAGCGATAGAGAGGAGGCGACAGAGATCAAGACTCGGTCTCAGCTACAGGGATTCGGTTCTCCGGGTTCAGCCAACAGAGGCTCGGTTCGGTCCTTGCTACTTTCGGTTCCTAGTCTTGGCCTTAAGGAGCTTCGGCTCCTTGAGAAGTGTTTCGGTTCCTAAAGTCCAATTTTCTCGTTTTTACCCCGTTTTAAGCCGTTTTTGACCCTGTTAAGGGTCGGAATGACCCGAATGATTCTAAAAAGTTACGGGAAACTTTTAAGAGAGATTTGGGAGATTTTTCGCATACTTGGAGAGATTTGACATTCTTGGAGAGATTTTCTCATACAAGAAGATATTTGAGAAAGGTTTCACATACTTTGAGAGATTTGGGAGAGATTTGACATTCTTAGAGAGATTTCTCATACAAAGAGATATTTGAGAGAGATTCCACATACTTGGAGAGATTTGGGAGAGATTTGACATTCTTGGAGAGATTTCTCATACAAAGAGATATTTGAGAGAGATTTCACAAGCTTGGAGAGATATGAGATTCTTGGAGAGATTTCTCATATAGAGAGATATTTGAGAGAGATTTCACATACTTGGAGAGATTTGGGAGAGATTTGTCATAGAGAGATAAAGTGAAAACGATTGAGAGAGATTCCATGTGTGACAATTGTGAGTGTTTGGCTCCGCAATGCAAGGTTCTTGAGCCCTGTTAAGTCATGATTAAGGATCCTACACACTCCCGATGAGTATGCAACATGGTTTTTATCAGTTTAGTTCATTGATTAACACTAAGGCTTAGGAAATTTTAACACAAGACTTTTCCCAAGTGATGTTTTCCCATTAATATAGCAAGTTATACAGTATGAACATAACACAAACCCTAATACACAAGGTTTAATCGAGTCGACCGGTTTGACTTGATGACTTGACTTGACTCAAGATTGACGATTGTCACAACCTAACCGTCTTACGTCCGGGTACATTGTCAACCAATTTCCAAACATTGTTGTCACACTTGGACTGAATCTTTCTGTCCATCGCCTTTTTCCATTTAGCAGACTCCAAGCCTGCCATGGCTTCCTTATAGCTGTTAGGTTCATCTAGATTTACTAGTGTACTGTCACTAATATACAATGCCCCTTCGGTAGTAATATGAAAACCATACAAATGGGGTTGAGCTCTAACTCTTTCGGAACGTCTAAGAGGTAAGGATTGGTTAATCTGTTCAACCGGAGTTTCCTCATCGGGTTGAGCGCCAACGTTAGAGGTTCCTTCATCGCTCGATTCTTAAATCTCTTCAAGATCGATTTTTCTCCCACTATCTCCTTGGCTTATGAGTTCTCTCTCTCTCTCGGAAAACCCCTCTTCTCGCAACAAAGACAACATTATCACTCGGCCTATAGACACTACAAGAAAAAGTCGAAATAACGACGGAAATATTCTGTAGGTAAAACATGATATTCCGTAGTTAAAATCGATTAGCGACGGAATTTGCTACGGATCCATTATGTAGGCAAATTCTTCGTTAGTAAAGGTTCGTTATGGAATCTGTAGCACCTTCACAACAGAATTTACAACAGACATATTTCGTAGAAAACTTGCTATGGACTACATCCGTAGCAACATCATTGCAAATTAACTACAATTTATTTCCGTAGCATGTCCGTAGTGAATTAATTACGTCCCGATCCATAGTAAATCTGTCGCAAATTAACTACAAACTAAATTTGTAGCTAGTTTCTGTAGCAAATCCACTATGGGTAATGGCGTAGCTAGTACTCCGTAGTAAATTTACTATGACCTATTTTCGTTACAAATTAACTACAAACTAGCCCCGTAGCTAATTTTCGTAGCAAATCAACTGTGGGTAATATTGTAGCAAATTTTCCATAGTGAATTTACTACGATGTATCAAATATGTTGTAGTAAATTTACCACAACCTACTTCTGTTGTAGAAAAAATTTGACATAATATGTTTTATAGCAACATCCATAACAATTCAACTACAAAAATGTGACAAAATTAATTAAAATAAATACAAAAATGAATCAACGTTTTCCAAAGCAAATTAATAATAAAATCAACATTATAAAATTGCATTAAACAGTAAAAAAAATTACATAAACTCTTAATAAAAACATAGTTTATCATCAAAGAAAATTTCACTTTGTCCAAAACACCAATTATAATATTCCAAAATTTTCCATTAAATTTAAACTTTTCTAAACATTTATTTTGTAAAAAAAAAAAAAAAGACATCCATCCATAATATAACATAACCAATTTATAAAATTCAAATCCCCAATTTAGTAATTCTAAACATACTTTAGATAAACCCATTTGTTTGTAACTCGGTTATAATAGAATAATAAATGCCTTAAAATCCATAATAAATATTATGACAAGGACCCAATCTTCAACCGCGTCAGTGTATAGTTAAGTCAAACCCTTACCCTTGTTGGTACCTGATGTACCTGTAATAATCATTTATTTAATAAAAGGGTAAGTACAAATCTTAGTGACTTCCAACACAACATAACATTAGAAATATTACACCCTACTCCTACTTATCATGCCACCAAAAAAATATGCAAACATCCATACAACATATAAACATTAATATCGTATATCTCATGTATATTTGGGAACAAATCCCGAACAACACCCAAAGAAAGACTCGGTATTCAGCCGTCGAGTCCACGTACTTGGCGTTTCCGCCTTCGGTCCCCCTGGCTTGGCACAATGGCCTTCGGTCAGTCGACTCGGTATTCAGCCGTCAAGCCTTAACATATCGACTTGGTATTAAGCCGTCGAGCCTAAACATATCATGCATATACATTCCACATAACAAATAAGTACATCAAACATAACTAATGCAACAAGTATTACTTTAACTATCAACCATATAGTTCCTACTCTCACCCAACCTAATAGTACGCATATAATACTCTAAGGTTATGAAGTGAGGAACTCACCTCTAGTAGTCAAACACCCTTCAAATAATACAAACACCCCTTAACACCAGGTTAACCTTCAAGTTCCTAATAATGACTAAAAAGAGTTAAGTTATGATACTTTGATATCTGAAAAGTATACTGGCTTGAGTGTAATTTTTTTTTTCAGATTTATACATAGAAATTATAGTCTTGTTATGGACCTGTTTCACCCCCCTTAAACGCTTTATTTTTCAAAAATGTTCTATATTCATTAAGTTCAGGTCATTAGCTTTAAAAGTAATATTCGCACACATCTGTATGATGTTTCTACAATTTTTGACGATTTTTATAAAACTGCTTCGCAAAACATGTCATTACGAACCAGTCTGGGTAAATGCTCGATTGCACCCTAGTTAGGGGCATTTATGGCCTTTGGTCAAAACTAATGAAATGTATAGGACTCAAAAACGAAACTCTGGCTTTTGTTTTTGACTAAAAAGGTTTTCTCATGATCGAGATATCATCTCTCAAATATATGGACATATTAGGGTGAAATCCTAAAATCACAGCTTTGTCTTTTTAGCGTTAATTTGACCTCTTAACCCATTAAGACCTATCCAATGAGGCTTATAATCAGTAAAATGAGTTCATAAAAGTAGATCACTTCATTGATATAGAATTCAATGAAAATCTCAACCCCTTTTCTTGAGATTTCTTGCATAAAACATCAAAATAAGTACAATGCCCTCATGGGAAGAATACCAACTAGGGTTTAAGGTTTGGGACCAAAACAACCCATGTCACCACTTAGCCATCAAAACACCTTGGAGCATCACTACCCACTGCCATAGTGGCAGTGGTTGGCGGCGGTGACTGCCACCACCTTGGCGGTGGTGGTGGTGGTGAAGATTTCATTTAAAGGTAAAATAGAAAGACGGAGAATAAGATTGCATGACTTACTTGAGAATGATGAATGTTTCTCCCTTGATGAAGATGTCATAGCCTCCTTGCAACCTTCACTTTCTATGCTCCCTTATTTTCCACTCCCGTTCTTTCTTTTCTCCCTTCTCACTCACGACTACACAAAGAAAAACGGCACCCCCTTAACTTGATAGGGTTAGGACGAAATTTTGAGGCTTAATAGGCCTTTTGGACGTGATTATGGGCTGCCCTAAGTTGGTGTCCGATCAAGGGGGGTTCAAGGCTTCAAAAACATAGCATTTGGCCCTTCAAGTTTGACATAATGGCTCCTCTAACCCCAAAAACAATTCCATTGCACAATGGGTCCATAATTAGCCCTAATTACCCCACCCTGTTATTATTTTTTTAACACAGTTAAATATTCCAGAAATAATAAATAAAGTATAATAAAGTCACGTACCGAGAACCGGGGCGTTACACCAATCAAATTAATCTAATAGTCAAACTCAACTAGAAATCCTAAACATGCAATCAATAAAAAATATATCATTATTATTTGTGCTTCTCATATCATCTACCGTGTTTTTCACATCACCCAACTCTATCCTTTGTTTATGTATGGTTTCCTCTAGTTTTTGGATCTTTGAATAAAGATGATGATTTTCCGAACTACTATCTAGTGAAATGCATATTTGAGAAGAGTTTTCAAGAAAAATGGACCTATCATATGATCGAAACCCATAAACTCTTTTCTTGCAATCATGTCCTCCAACAACAACTTGCTTTCAAGAATTTGGAAAATTAATTCAAAGTTTGAACAAACTAGACATACTAAGCATTCCATAAAAGTAAGTCTCATAATTTTTAGATGTTCGGGTTGCCTCAAACGGATGTTTGAAATTGAAGGGTAGAATTGGAAAAATATGTCATTTTAGCTTTTCATTCATTTTTGGCATTTTATTAAGGACTTAATGGTTAAGTTTATAGTTTAACATTATTAATACAATTATTGACTACATATGAGGTTTCCAAAATATACAAAACAACTTTACTCAAAAGTCTTAATGCATGACTTAATGGAGTATAAAATTAGGGCTTAACAAAATAATAATAAAAATGTATAAAGCTTCATTTCATGTGACATTAGGGTTTCACATAAAATGATAATTAGGGTTAAGTGTTTCTCACTTAACCCATTAAGGGCTTAACCCATTAAGGACTTAATCCACTAAAGACTCAATCCATTAAGTCCATTATTGCTTAGATTAATTTCAGCCAAGGTTGTAGAAATCGGGATTAATCGTGCATTAATGGTAGATTAATCGCTTGGCGTTCTACAACCGATTAGGATTAGGGGTCCTTGGCATTAATTGGTCAATTTCGGTCAACGAAAGTCAAAATAAGTCAAAGGTCAAAGTTGGTCAATTAAAAAAAGGCTCCAAAATAATTAAAAAAAACGCTCCAAAAAAATCCGAAAATTTTCTTCTAACCCTACAATCGTCATATTCATCAGCCGTTTTTGTGCTCTCTCTTAAAAATTGAAGCGACGCAAGCCTACCCCGATGATACAGCTGATGCCGATGCCCACCATTCTCCGACTAACCTCCAGCGGCCACCGGTGAACCTCCAAGGACAGCGGCGTTCGTATTTCAAGTTAGCGATTTCTTAATCTGAGTTCTTTTTTTTTCCCAAAAAAGGTTGAGTTCTTGTTTGTTCATTGAAAGTCCACTTCCGATAATGTTATAAAATTGATTTGTTCTTTCGTTTTAGAATATTGTATAGAATTTATTACATTTGTTAACTCTTGAATTTAATATTCGTATATAGTCGTCGCCCATTTGGGTTTATGTAGAACAAGTAACAGCCAATATTCATGGCTTCCTGTTTGCTGTTAATCACGAGTGTATGCCATAAATATTTTTTTATTATTATTTTCTTAGTAATTTACTAATTTATTATAAATATATTAGAATTAAAGTTTGTGTTGTATTGAAATATAGTCACAATCTGTAATTTTGATATTTTGATGCCTACGAGTGCTTCTTCAAGATTATAGCTAAAGATTAGCCATTTTTGGTGTGATATTTTGATGTCTGCTTAAAATTTGTCATTTAAGTTGTGTATTTCTGATGTATTTTTCTGGTATGTATAATAGTGTTCAATCATGACATCTAAAAATTCGACTTCACAATCGGTGGGATCAACTCCCATGGGTACTCATAAACGGAACTCAGATGATATTGGTTGGGAATATGGTTTTTACCCGGATGAAAACAAGATGGATACAATGAAATGTAACTTGTGTGGAAAGACAAGTCGTGATGATTGATTTGCCAAAATACAAGGAAAAAGTTGATAGATTTTGAGCAGATCTTGCAATTAAAGGTTGTATGGTGAACAATGCTGACTTTGATTCGGGTAATATGTTTTATGTTTATTTTAGTAATTTATAAAATAATAGAATTTTATATCTATTAATTTAATAGTGTTTTTTTTGCTTTAATATTATAACAAGATGGTGAAGACTTTTTGGCAGCTCAACTCCTCGTTTGAAAAAGATTGCAATGAGGATTCTTTCTTTAACAAGTAGCTTATCTGGCTGTGAAAAAAATTGGAGCACGTTTGAAGCGGTTAGTTATAAAGTTATAATATTTAAATATCAAGAATGTTTTTAAGGTTTTGTTATGTATACTTTTATAGGTACATATGAAGAAACGAAATAGATTGGAAAGAAATAGATTGAACAATCTTGTTTATGTTCAATTCAATGCTAATCTAATGGAAAAAAACAATAAGAGAAAAGATAGGACTTTGAAAATGCTTTTAGCAAATGATTCTCACTCGGCTCAAGAATAGATTATAGATGGAGATGACGGTGATGGAGATGAAGTTGACACCGAATCAGTTATGGAAGCGATTGATGAAGCTCCCAATACTAATGATAATCAAGTACCCCATAAAAGTTCAACAACAAGAGAATTTTACAATGAAGATTTCGAATCCGAGAATGAGGAGCAAGTGTTTGAAGAAGATGAATATGAGTCAGATGGAGTTAAAATAGTGGAAGAACTTGAAGATTAGAAGAATATGGACATTTAAATGTATAAAAACGCGTGTTTTTATTAGTAGTAAACTTATTTTGGACTTGTAATGGATGATGACTTAAATGTTTAAATCCTAGTTATGACTTTTTGTATGGTTACATATTTTATGACTTTTTGTATGGTTATTTGCTTATTTTATACTAAAATTTTATTAATAATTAATGGTCCGCGATTAATCTCCGTCGAGATCGATTAATCATTTAACCCCAGTCGACCGCCAAGCTACCGTCAAGCGATTTTTGCAACCTTGATTTCTGCCAATGATTATTATTTAATATTTTATTTATTAAATAATTCTTATGTGTATGTCCTGATAATTTCTCAAATATTAGTATTTTCTCAATTAGCCCATTAAGGACATAGTCCATAAGTCCTTTATTCTACTAGATAAATGGCATGAAATAGTTTGGGCTTAATTCACAATCTAATCCAAATGGCCCAAAAGTGGGTCCAAATAAGTCCAATGACCAAATACTCATAATCAAGGTTTTCTACCCAAACATGGCCCAATAGACCGAAAACCAATCTCTAAGCCCAGTAGGGTTTGCTAGCGGGACACCACCCACTACCGCCTCAGGTATTGGTGGTCAATGGCGGCTCACGGCGGCGGCCACCCCCCTAAGGTGGTGGTTTTCCATTTCTTTTCATTAATCTTTTGGAAATTACAATTACAATGCTTTATACATACACACTAACTAACTAACACACACACAACCACCCTAGTGGTGGCCAACGGTGGTACAAGGCGGCAGCCACCACCTCACGGTGGTGGTGGTGGTGGTTTTTCCCGAGAAATCCGGCTAAACAAAACCCCCACTACAGTAAAATGAACACACACAAGCACTCTTTTCCCAGAACAGTAACATAGCCACCCACCTGGTGGCATACATGGCAGTGAAGGCGCGAGATGGCAACAACTTTGTTTTGACAGCCACCACCTCATGGTGGTGGTGGCGTTTCATCTTGATCCACTGCCCAACAACACTTCAACCTCGCCTAACATATCGACTGGTGCAAGGTGCTTCATACACGCTGGTAACGGAGGCTCCTGGTGGTTTTTCGACTCCATACGATGCCGGCAGCAAGAGCTGGGAGTAGAAGAAGAAAGGGAGGCAAAGAAATGAAAGCAGCGACCGATCCTTTTCGCTCCAAGCCTCGAAGAATTCGTCTGCAGTGCTAAACATCTTCGATTGAAGGTTAGTTGCGGTCCGACCACTCTATCTCGTTCACAGCGATGGCTCAAGCTTCGCATCCCACGTCTTCGTCGGCCCTCGTCTTGGCGGTCCTCAACTCCTACTTCGGATGCAATGGAACAGTAGGAGTGTGTCTTCACCGGCATCAAGACCCCGATGGCATATCAATGGTGAGGCGACAAGCATCGGTGTTTGAGGCTTCATCTGGTCGGAGCGCAAGAGAGAAACCGGTGATGGTGGCTAGAGGAGTGAAGGGGTGGCGGCCGGCACTTCTTTAGGGTTAGGGTACACAAATGATTCATCGGAATATATATGCCCGGTCCATATTACAACTTTCCCATATTTCCCATAAATTTCTTCCATAACAGATTCCTGCATTACCAATAAACCCTTCAGCCTTCAAATCTTTTCAATTTAATCCCAAACTTACTCTTTTAACCCCCGACTTGTAAAATTCTTCACAAATTAGTCTGGGACTCACATTTACTTGTTTATTTAAATAAACGGGGCGTTACATGTATCATGATGTACCACATGTAATACAACTATGTAAATTTGTATAGTAGTTTCGATACAATATAAAATCAATTGGACAAACATGTATTATTTCAATTTCCATTCCCTCGGACACATCAATTTTTTTGCTTGGTATGTGGACACAGGTAGCTCGTTATCATCTGGAAGCATCTCATGCAAAATATTTAGAAGACTCGTGAAACTTGTATCAATCCAACCATTGTTTGCTTTTAAGTTAATCAATTTCAACTAAGCGGATAGTTCGGTAAATTTTTTACACCTAGTGTACAACGTTTTCTCTGATTCTTCAAAATAATTGTTGAAAATTTTCATAATCATCTTCAGCAACATTGTCTTTACAATCAGGTAGCATTCCACGTAAGTTATCATTGTTGTTATCGTCTGTATCATCAATATCATCATTATACTCTAAAGTAGTTGCATTATGATCAACCAATATCTCATCATGTCGTGACCAACATGTATACTCTCTCATAAACCCACGAACTATCAAATGTTCTTCTATTTTGGCAGAATCAGTGTCATTGCAACAATTCTGACAATCTACACAAGGACACCATATGTAGCTTTCTCTTTTATTCACCCGATTCTCCTCTGCAACTTTCAGAAAACCACTCAAACATGCCAAATATTCATCGGATGAATGTTTAATTCCATACATCCAGTAACTACGATCCATCTATTATTACATAAAAGATATATGAATAACATGCATGTAGAATAACATATGCATTTAAAGGCATATGTAATGTACATAATACAAAGTTAATCATACAAAAATATTATCGAGTGCTTGAAAGTAATAAAAATACCTTGTTTTTATTTGTTAGATAAGATGAATATATTTATTACAGCTCAATAAGTTTCAATATGTATTCCTATGATTCAAATATAATGAGGTAGATTTAAAAAAACCAACATATTGAATTATAAAATATAATGATTTATTATGTAAACCAATATATTTTTCTATAACTTTATAAAATTTTAAAAGATTTTATCATAAATTTTTAACATTGCATCGGTTAAAAATATACCACATCACGTAAAAACATACCATTTTCCATGCATAAGAATATAAATAGTTTTTTAGAATAAACAAATAAACTAATAATCATTATTGATGATATTTTGTAATATAATTGTGTTTATATATTTATAGATGTGGTTAATGTGTAATGTTTTGTTATTATTATTTTTCTAATTTCAAACAAATAACACTACAAGAAAAATGACTTATAGTCATACCAAAAAAGTGTGACTATATGCGTATAGTGACATTTTATATTTTCACTGAAAGTGTGACGGAAGGTGACGCCATCGTATGGGTCTTATGGTCACTTTAAAATGTAGTGTTTGTATGCTATGAAAACATGTAGTCGTATTATAAAATTATGGCAAATGTGTATGAAATTTTGTTCCTTAAATATCCAATATTGTAGCGTTAAACAGTTAGTAGTCATACATATTTAGTTAACGTGGTGACTGTATATCACCAACATGTGACATTCATGTTGTTTTAGTGTAGTTGTTTTCTTACAAATAGTCACACAGTTTAAATTTTATTAAGACTATTTTTTATCTTTTGTAAACTTTTAATTATGGTGAGTGTGACCATGTTTGGTAAATGGTGACAGGTACTTTACTTTCATATGTGATGAATTGCTAATTGTTAGTCACAAAAATCAACCAACGTTTATGACTATAACCTAACGTATAGAGACACACAATTAAGTGAATTAAAATCATAAGTATTATAAAGTCACACATTTTGTTAAAATTAAGGATAATTTGGTATTGAATTAAGACTATTGGGTATATTTTAGACACATATAATTTATGGTGAACATGTTCGTGTTCGGTAAATGGACACATATAATCAATGATATATGTGACGGTTTACTAGTATTTAGTCTCAACGCCAATCATGTATGGTATTTATTTGCCACATAAATTGTTATTCATTTTGTTATTGTTCAACTTAGTGACAAAAAATATTAATAAACATCATTTTAAATCAATTCTAGTCTCATAATTCTTGTATATTATGACTATTGTTAACCATTTAGCCACACGTTACAAATTGATGTAAAGTAACTATTGTATATTTTTAGAGACATTAAAAACGTATAAAACATGGCAAAAATCATACTACAACCACTATAACTTACTATTTACTGTTACTTTTTATACATTTTAGACACACTAAAATAATTTAAATTAAAGTAACCAAACACAACAATATAAAACACAAACAAAATTCATAATTTGATATTAATAATAATTGAAATCGAAATCCATATATATATATATATATATATATATATATATATATATATATATATATATATATACACACACGTTACATTTCTAATTAAAAATATCAAAGAAAGGAAACCTGTCCTGCTTTAAAGAATTTAAATAACGGTTAAAAAACCAAACACATCATAAACCAAAACATAAACATAACTAGCTAGACATTCATTTTGTTGGTATTGCTCCTTGTCTTCTTGAGAAAGGAATCAGATGATATGTAAGTTGGTTTCTTTTTCGTTGAGTTTTGATGTGATATAATTTCTGGTACCTATAGCAACAACATCAAAACCAAAAAAAATTAGTTCATTGTACACTTAGTATAGTACTTTATGAAGAAAATAAAGTTTAATGCACAAAGTAGTGAACATATTGAAACAAACCTTTGACTCGGTTTGCACAAGGTATTTTGGCCATGGAACAAAACTTTTATATGCATCCCCAACTAATGTGAACTCTCCTATTTTATGGGGTAGAAATGCATTTTTTACAACCATTTCATCAATGGAAACTTTATAGCAATCATCATGTAGAGCAACTCCATGAATGAATTATCTTTCTGATGATAAATGAATGGTACGATGAGCAACGATGTTCCTTTTATACGGATATGATAGACTACACTTGATTGGCTACAATGACAAGTAATATTATAATCTGAAAAAAAAAAAGACAGACAGGTATATTGATCATGTAAAAAAGCACTGACCTGGTGAATGGGTTTATATGGTGAAATTGTTGGTATGTTATGATTGATAGTAGCAGTCTTAGACTCAACAACTTTTCTGGTGGTTTTCGTATTAGCCTAATATAAAGATTTAAGACATATATTAAATTACATTTTAATATAAAAGATTAAATAGAAGTTATTGAAAACTGTAAGGTTAGTATATACTACTGTTGCAGATTTCATGGAAATCAATTCTGCATCGGAAGTTGCAGTTGCATATTTCATTTGAACAAGTTTTTTGGTGGGTTTTGGAATAACCTAAATAATTTAATGTCCAACATGAAAAATCAGTCTCAAAACCGATGAACCTTCAAAACCTGTAACAGCAGTATGTTATCATCTTATTAGATCATCGTGTATATATATATATATATATATATATATATATATATATACACACGATGATCTAATAAGATGATAACATACTGCTGTTACAGGTTTTGAAGGTTCATCGGTTTTGAGACTAATAGGAGACGTTTCATTACTTTGTACAATCTTCTCACTTGAAATACCATAGAAAATATAAAGAAACAGGTAAAATGTGTAAAAGAAATGCAATTTACAGCTAACATTGAAAACATATATTTTCAATAAGATTACTTACAATTGTATGAGAAAGATTTGGAAAGTCAGCTTCTTTTGCATTAAGATGAGCCAAAACTAGCTTTAGTGTTTGATCTTGTTCATTAACTTTTGTAGACAAAGCCTTGAGTTCAACATCTTTTTTATCAAGCTCAAGTTTTCCATTATGCATTGCAACTTTAAGATCCTTAATTTCATCGTTAGATGACCCTTTGCTGCGACGAACATTGAAATATTTGTTGTAAGTGACTCCCGTGCCAACACCCTTTAAAAATCCGCTCTTTTCCTTGCCAAAAACTAAGGTCATGACATCCGTTCCTAGTTCAACATTTACTTGTCCTTCTTTTATCTGCTTCTCATGTTCCATCTACCAAACAAAACATTAATAATTATTGTCTTAATAACAATGATTAAAATATTTAAAGTAAAAGTAAAAGAAAAGTGTAGTGAAGTCACAAGTCTATCGGCCATGATTTTAACATATTCATCCTTAAATTCTCCTTTACTTTCACGCCCTTTACACCACATAAATGACCTTGGGGGCATTTCCACCTTTGAAATCACATTCTCTTGAATCTTAATAAAAAAAAATTAATTTTAAAGAGTATGAAACAAAAGCATGTTAAATAAAATGCTATGAAGTTAATGTAGCTAAAGACCAAGCTTACCAAATTCCTCCTAAGAGTAGTATACCCCCCTCATCCCATCCGATGAGCATACTTTGACATCTTTCTCGCTTTAATAGTCCTTTGTGACACATTCTTGTGAAATAAAAGTAAAATATTTGTCACGCACTTTTATAACCCAGTTTATGATAAATAAATGAATAATTTTTGAAAAAAAATATTTTAACATTACACTCTTGAGATTGCGTATAAGTCACAAATTTTTTCCAATCATCTTGTTCAATGATTAGTGCACGATAACGAACGGGGATTTTCTCAAGGTTTTTAGGATTGCGTAGATGTGGCTTGATGTAATATGCATACAACTTTCTTCTAAAGTTTCATAGAAGAATACCAAGTCTATTCATCACAAATTGTTTTCCACATTCATGAACCTCAAAATAGCGCTAAAACAAAAAAAACAATGAAAATGTTAGTATTTAATACTTGATTTTTACATATCATATGCTATACAAATTAAAAAATTGAAGAAAATATTTATTGTAATCTCTTCCCATAGTTTGTCCTTCAATTCCGGTTTAACTTTTTTTTTTTTCCAGCAAAGAGCACTTAATCCCACCTTCTCGCATATGAGATCACCCAAATAGCTAACAAACAATGCAATATTCTTCCTTGTAAACTTACCGAATTCATCGAACCTGACATGTTTTTTAGCACCATAATTGACATATTCAGTCTTCAGTTTTGGAAACCGAGTCACGCCCCTCTTCTTATTTGACCTTGTAGGAATTGTTTTATGGATTTCTTTTTCCGAATCTGATTGGCAATTGTAGTGAATGTCTTTATTCTCACCATCCTCTGTCTCCAAATCATATTCTTGGTTTCCATCATCTAGCTCATCTTCTATATTATAGTTAGGGATATCCTCATGTTGTTCCTTGTCAACCTCCATGATTCTTCTGTTGACAAAACAGATTAAAAATAACTTTGATTGTTTATAAGTTTAATGATAATGTAGGAATAATTATATTAAAGACAATTGCTCAGATAAAAAATTCATCGAACAGTTGGTGTACAACAAGCACACCAATATGAAGAATCAAAATTGTTTGTGTTACGCATGATCCATAAGCAATACAATCAATAATATTGAAATAATACGTACACAAACAATATACTTACACTAGAAAGCTTGATGAATGATGAACTGAATTATGATCCTTTTGGGATATAACCTAACGCTAAACAAAACAATGGTGGAATAAATGATGGTCTATTAAATATTAAAATGATTTAACAGGTCCTAAATTGATGGATGTTACCAAAAAATTACCGGAATTTTCTTGATCCGATGGATTGATCTTCATAGTTTTGGCAGTGCGATAGATGAAGATTTCCTGCTTTGATTTGGAGCCCAAAAACCATACGAAATAATGTTTGCCTCCCATTAGTTTTGTTTAAATTTGTTTGATGAATTCAAATGTGTTGGAAATTTTGAGCTGATAGTAATCCCACACGATTTGAAGCAAAAATCGTGGTTTGGAAACGTGTTCTTCCTTCTCAAACATTATTATGACTTATTTAATAATAATATAAATATTACATATTTGCTTCTTCTAAGTTAACAATTTATTCTCTGGAAAAACATTTATGACTATTTGAAATAAAAAATATTTAAAGTTAAAAAAATAAATATATTATTATATAACAAATATAATATTAAGGTCTAGTAGGCTTAATAATTTTATATAATATTTATATCCGATAACTCCATAAACCAATGACTATCCTATGCTATTACACACCTAACGCCCGTAGATGACCTAATGAGGCCCAAACCCACAACCAACACCCATACATGACCTAATGAGGTCCAAACCCACTACCCAACCCATAGATGAGCTAATGAATTCCAAACCCACAACCGACACCCTTAGATGACCTAATGAGGTCCTAACCCACAACCTAAACCCATACATGACCTAATGACGTCCAAACGCACAACCAAAACCCGTACATGACCTAATGAGGTCCAAACCCACAACCAACACTCGTAGATGACCTAATGAGGTCTAAACCCACAACCAACATCCGTACATGACCTAATGAGGTCCAAACCCACAACCAACACCCATACATGACCTAATGAGGTCCAAACCCACAACCAACACCCATAGATTACCTAATGAGCTTCAAACCCACAACCAACACCCATACACGACCTAATGAGGTCCAAACCAACAACCAACACCCGTAGATGACCTAATGAGGTCCAAACTGACAACCAACACCCATACATGACATAATGACGTCCTGACCCACAACCAACACCCGTACATGACCTAATGAGGTCCTAACCCACAACCAACACCCATATATGACCTAATGAGGTCAAAACCCACAACAACACCCATACATGACCCAATGAGGTCAAAACCCACAACCAACACCCGTAGATGACCTAATGAGGTCCAAACCCACAACCAACACCCATACACGACCTAATGAGCTCTAAACCAACAACCAACACTCGTAGATGACCTAATAAGGTCCAAGCCGACAACCAACACCTATACATGACCTAATGACATCCTAACCCACAACCAACACCCGTACATGACCTAATGAGGTCCTAAACCACAACCAACACCCATACATGAACTAATGAGGTCAAAACCCACAACCAACACCCATACATGACCCAATAAGGTCCAAACCCACAAACAACATTCTTAGATGACCTAGTGAGGTCCAAACCCACAGCCAACACCCATACATGACCTAATGTGGTCCAAACCCACAACCAACACCCATACATGTGCTAATGAGGTCCAAACCCACAACCAACACCCGCACATGACCTAATGAGGTCCTAACCCACAACCAACACCCATACATGACGTAATGAGGTCCAAACCCACAACCAACACCCATATATGACCCAATGAGGTCCAAACCCACAACCAACACCCATAGATAACCTAATATTCTGTTAAAATAAGTTGTATTCTTTTCATTTTTAATGGTGTATTATTTGGTGCAATTAAAAGAATAAATGACAAAATGGGCAATTTGGTCCTTTGTTATAACTCTTATTCAATACAAAATTATTTTTCTTTTGTGATTATATTTACATATAGACACATATAATAGTTATAACGTAACTAAATGATACCTACACACACTATTTGTTTCTTTTTAAAGCCAATTTATAATATTTTGACACAAAAAATAAAAGGTACATGACCATAAGTAACATATTCAATGAACGACCCCTAATTATAACGATAAGACATTATTTTTCTTTTATGACTATATTTACATATAAACACATATAATAGCTGTAAACGTAACTAAATGCTACCTACAGACACAATATTTGTTTATTCTTAAAGCCAATTTATAATATTTTGACACACATAATAAAAGGTAAATGACCATAAGTAACCAATACTAACTACTTTTAATTTCTTGCCTAAACTAAATACAACTAGTACAGAACCGCTCTATTAACACACAAATATTTAGTGTGACCATATGTATCACGTTTTAGCTACTTTGTCTGTTATATGGGTAAAAAAGAACCAGGTTATAGACACACAGAGAACTAACTCATGTGATGATACTTTTATCTACTGTCTCTCATAAAAAAGTATGACAATCTTAATCTATACACGTGGTTGATTGTGACCTATGATCTCAGTTTTCGAGTGTGACTAATATTTGTCACATTTGGTATAATTAAGTGTGGTAAAAGTTTTGATTGTCTATATAATGGCCCGTCATTCTAATTTAAATGTATCCCAAAACAGTCTCTAAATTTTTCTAGTGACCATCGGCCACACTGTTAAGAAAAAGTATCACATGCCGTTTTTCATAAAGTGTGACCGTAGGTCATTTTTGTACTACTGTAAAAAAATTTAAATATTTTAAAACAATTTGATAAAATAATATAATATTTTAGACAACTCCTATATTTCATTATAATTGTGATATATTAAATAACAATTAAAATAAAGACGTTAATTAAGAAAAAAGTTGTAAAACATTATATAAGTCGGTATAATTATTAACTTTAGTGTTGTTTATTTTATATATATATATATATATATATATATATATATATATATATATATATATATATATATATATATATATATATATATATATATATATATATATATATATATTAAGGGATATATGGGATAATCTAAGCCTAATAGATGTTATGATATTACAAACAATTAATTAATATTTAATAAACAAAGAAAAAATTATGATAAGTTACAAATGAATGATACGTAATGTGTCAAAATGTTAGGGTTTCATAAGGGTTGGCTAACCGACTTTTATAGATATCACAAATATCATCAAAACCTATTCGACACGAAGGCGGTACTTTTACCGGAAAGTGGGACTTTTTCAGCCAAACATTTCATCATCTTTAATCCTTTATAAAGAGGTAATCTATACATGATAATGTAACAAGGGATAGACCGAGATGAAAGACTTATAGCGGAAGAAAGATTCATCGTCTCTGTTAATCTACTATCCTAGTAGAGTCTTGTTATAAACTCTGTCCTAAGTGTGAATATAAGGAATGCAAAAGGATCTTGAATATTACATTGATTTAAGGTAATAATTCTTCAGTGTATTTCGTATTCAACTAAAATGATGTTTATTGATGCTAAATTTAGGTTTTATGGTATTTAGTCAACACAATTGGAGATTTTCAGTCTTAACACTGTTTTGGATTTTCAATTCTACTTAAATGTAAAGAAATTTTATTTTCTAATTTGAGAGTTACCTTTGAATGTGTTGTTGATTGTTGGTGCCAGAGATGAAAGGGATTGTGTCGATGATATCTTTAATTCCAAGGGATGTTGTGAAGGCTACACCGAAAATAGAGATAACTTTGATTGTTGAGTAAACCAAATATTTGCAATCTTCTATGCCCTTACCAGCTTCAGAATCTGTTAAACTTTATTTGTAAGTTTTCAAATTTAAAACATTAACCGACTTAGATGTGAAAATTTAAGTAGAATAGGGTTAAAAATACATACTTAAGACTTAATGAAGAAGAATGTGTGCGTTGTAGCCTACGGTTTCCTTCTCCTTCATACGAGATTTATCTATTTTCTACGTATATAAGTAAATAGTAAACTTATGTTACCATATAATCGAATGTAGTTGCAAAGATGTGGAATCAATTAGAAGTATGCACCTAACTAGGATTAGAGATACTTACAAATAAGCTTCTATCTTTTTGTTCACTTGTTATTTTGTGTATGCTAATTGATGAACAAATACAAGTTTGTTCATTTGTTGTCACTTCTTTTTACATGTGTGTAAACGGAAGAATAAATAGCAACTAATTAGATAATCATATGAATTAGCAATAGTTATCTTTCAGATTTTTTTTTATCAATATCTATAACTTTAAAATTCAAACTTTATTCATGGTCGGTTAATCTTTTCAGTGTAGCATATCTATTGTTTTGTAGAGTGCATAAACTTCAAAAGAGATAAGGATATGATTAAATAGAGAGAAAACATATGTCTCATCTGTCAAAGAACCCATTTTTTTTGTTTAGTACCCAACATAGATACACTCACAAAGATGTTGATTATTACTATGTTGTTGCAGCTTAAAGTTTTTGATTACTGACTTTTCAAGTAACATTGATGAATGTTTACTTAATAGTTATTGTGTTTGCTGATTTTCCTTTGGATGGAAGGCCATTCATGAGAGTTGGTTGCTTTTTCGTGATAGTTAGTTGCTATTCTGGTGCTACTAATTGGGCGGCTAAGAGATAACTTCATCCCTTTAGATTCAACATGACCATTTTGCACCTAGTGTTATTTTGGTGAAATTTAACTATTTTTTTTGGTGCTGCCCTATTATTAGCTCAAGCTTCCATATGCAGAATACATACATCATGTGAGTATGTG